AGTGGTAGAAGTGGTAGAAGTGGTAGAAGTGGTAGAAGTGGTAGAAGTGGTGGTAGAAGTGGTAGTAGTAGTAGCAGTAGTAGTAGTAGTAGTAGTAGTAGTAGTAGTAGTAGTAGTGTAGTAGTAGTAGTAGTAGTAGTAGTAGTAGTATAGTAGTAGCAGTGGTAGTAGTAGTAGTAGTAGTAGTAGGAGGAGGAGGAGGAGGAGGAGTAAGAGGAACAGCAGCAGCAGCAGCAGGAGCAGCAGCAGCAGGGTAGGAGGAGTAGTAGTAGTAGTAGTAGTAGTAGTAGTATTCGTGATTGACCGAAAAAAAACCCTGTGCAGACAATTGATAGTCGAAGCCGTTATCTTGCAAGTCACTTATTTGCCGGAACATTTCGGATTCAAGCTCCTGGCTCTGCAGACACCATTAACATGCAAGTGCAAAAGGGCAATGCAATCAAGGATCCAGGTCCCAGGCCCTGTCGAAACCATTAATTTGTTAGGTTCCGTCTGCAACAGTTAACGTTCATTTTGACTGAAAATCACGAGCGAAATCACTGCCTTACCACGAATTCGCCTAATGGGGGCAAAAAGCCAAAAACATGAAATGAGAAAGAATCGAAACGTCTTCTCCGACAGACAAGACGGAGAAAGCCAGACGAATTCGCTTTAGGAAGTTAAAAGCGAATTAAGAACATAAAATGAACATAATGGAAACGTCTTCTCGGACAGATGCGAAGAAAGCCAGACGAATTCGCTTTGGGAGGGTTAAAAGCGAATAACATAAAATGAACATAATTCAAACGTCTTCTCTGACAGACAAGCAGAAAGCCAAACGACTTCACTTTAGGAGGATTAAACGCGAAGAAAATACATGAAATGCAATTGAAACGTCTTCTCCGACAGACAAGAAGAAGAAAGCAAGACGTAGTATAAAAGGCGATGAAAGCAAAGTACATATCTTGAGCGAATGAATGAAGAAGGCCACCCGCCAGATCAAGCATACGTGTTCTCTCGGACCAGGATGATACAGTAGAGCGCATGATGGCAGCGCCGGCAGAAACATATCACGCCAGGGGGCTGCAGCGTGCGCACGTCGCAGTCATCTTCGGCAGGCGACTCGCGCCTGCGGGGTGTAGGTTTAGGGCTTAGCCTAAACCCTGAACCCTAAACCCCAAACCGTTTAGAGGTTCCGAAATGGAGCTTTGGGGTACGACGGTGTTAAGATCTAGTCTCCGGGGCCGCAGAGCGTCTGACCCCAATCCCTTCTGACATCCTGTACTATTTGACCGGGAGTAATGCAAACAATGCCACCAAGCAAGATATGTCGGCAAAGCGATTATGCCCAAAGAACCAACATAGATTATATACTATAGATGTTACGAGCCCTATACAGAAGGGTAGTCCTCTTCTTTCAGCCCCTGTAGTCTGCAGTACGCACCTGAGAAGGAGCGCCAGAGAAATGGCAGCGGCAGCTGCAGCAAAGGCCGTAGCGACATGCCAACGATGCATGGCACACCCGGCTCGTACATCTACCGATGCATGTCGGCACTTGATTAACGCGCCTACAGTACCGTCTCGGCCATAGGCCACGAGAGAGTCTCCCAGAGCAGGGGCAAAGATAGGGTTGGGCAGAATCTTGCTGCAGCCCGAATGTTGCCTCACCACCTACGTTTCCGGTTGAAGGCGAGAGCTCCAGAGCTCAACAGTAGATGCAACACTGTTGAAGTTTGGGGTCGCTTCTAGCTGTCTTGCTCACATGATGGGACCTTGTCTTCTCCTGCCCCTCTGATGGCTGCGGTTCAGAGATGAAGGTCGCAGGAAGAGAACGTCTCCGCGAGCAGAGGCAACCCGTAAACTGGCATCCGCAGGTGTCTATGGGCGGAGCTCCCAATCCGTGCGACTGCAGGCTGCAGACGACAGCCTGGTCACTCTGACTTCCTGCCGAAATCTATAACATAATATAATATAATACAATGTATCATTCATCTCCAGGCTTCACAAGACCATGGAAGACCCTTCTGAAACCACGCGCGTTTCTAGCACTTGGGTCCCAGGCCATGCTGTCGCCGTGTGACCTCTTGGAAAGCTAGGCATCACATTTAGCCCTCTCAACGTCGGCAAAGGCTCTCTACCGGAGACCAGGCAGATTCGCAAGCTGCCCCGCCTGCCCTATAGAGCTAGTCCAAAGCCCAGTGCTGTGATCCTGATAACCGTACGCCAAACCCAGAGGACCCAGAGGACCACTTTCCACCTCGTCTGCGAGCTGAAGGCCTCGATGCGCTGAGGCCTTGGGCTCCAAGCTCAAGAGGGGTTCTTCCAAATCAGGGGTCCTCAAGAGCACCGAGATAAGAAGCTACTGAATTACTTTCTGTGAGTACCAGAAAGGGAACCCTAGTTTTGTGCAGCCCGCAACTGGAGGAGGATGGGAGGAAAGGTGAGAGGAATGACGTACAGTCCGAAATCGAGGCGCTGATACCTGTTAACTTCTGCGTATGTCTTGCTGGAGCAAAGCGCAGCCGCACCTCTTAACGCGAAAACACAATAAGGGTCCAGCCTCAGTCAAAAGAGAGAACCAGACAGAGAGAGAGAGAGAGGAGAGCAAAAGATCAGGCGAGAAAGAAAAGAGAGGCAGACCAACGAACGAGAAAACCAAAGGCCTAATACATCCAAAGGCACATAGAGCATCGGTACATGTATGTATATATATATATGTATATATATATATATACACATACATACATATATATACACACACGCACACATAGCACCGGTACATACAGGTGTGTATAAATAAATAAATAACTATATATATATATATGTATGTATATACACACATGTCACATATATGCACGCATGGCTTAAACACAGCACTAACAAATATGATATACATGTCTACATGTATAGAACAAGTAAGCAAGTAAACCAAACATATGAACAAATTTAAAGAAACTCCATCTATGCCTGTATAGAGAAGCGGACCACGCAAATAACAAAAATGAATGCATAACCATGCTACTGGTAATACATATGTCTACATTTGTATCTAGCACTTATAGGAGCGAAAACTGAGATGCAAACTCTTCGTTGTTGATGGCTTGGTCGATGCGCTGCTTCTTCGGCCTTTGGATTTACGGTTTAGGGTTTCGGAGGGCTTTGGGGGCTTACATATATATAGATAGATAGATAGATAGATAGATAGATGGATAGATAGATAGCTAGGGATTTGATCAAAGCCTTGACGTGCCCTTCCTATTCACTCAGATTTTTCAAAGCCTTGACTCGAGCTCGAGGTCGGAGACTATCTTCATCCCACTGACTCTTTTCCCGACAAAAGAGAGGGGTCTCAGGTTTCTGAGAATTCGATGCTCAGCCACCCCCCGAGGACTGGCGAGGAAAGTGGCTTTAGGAAGGCCCTGAGACGCAAGAACTGATCCTTATAACATCATGGCAGCAAGTTCTGTCGAGATGATACAGTAGTGGTCATGGTGCTGATGATCCCGGTTCTCGGTAACCACGGTTGTCCTCATGATGACGACTCTTTAACTTGTATTCCCTTCTTTCTGGCCACCGCCCGAAACCTGTTGAGCTTTAGCTTGGAGTCGCTGATGCAAGCACTCCACGTCGCGTCAAATCTTGGGCAGCGGCTGAAAGAGCTGCACGTTCCTCAGATTCGAGAAAGGCAAGGTGCTCTGGGACCTACAATTAATTTCCACTTCTACGGACTTGTCTTCAGTTTCGTTGTACGTTGGGCCAATGTATAAAATCCTCGGATCGTACGGCTAGTGAACCTTGGAGTCACATGGCTGCCGATTCCTGTGCTTTCGCATGCAGACATTGACACAGGCTTGCACGGGACACTTGGCGTGCGTGGCCACTCCCACGAGTGGGATGAATGGTCAAGATCTAACTTCGAGCGTCAGGGCTTATGTCAAACCGGGGCTTTCCACGTGAACTGCAACCCTCCTTACTTTGGTGCAGGTAAGCCTGAAGCAGGTGCAGGCCGTGGATCCGAGCCAGTGCAAACTCGCTGGAGTAGCCCGTCAACTTCTGGAGGGACTGACCTGAAGTGAGCCAAGGCATGCTGAGGCTGAGTCTGCCTGCAGTACACCCAACGCCGAACCAACCCCAGGGCTCTGTTCAGAGACTCTACGACTGAGGCAATCTGAGGCAGCCGCTGATGAAGACAAGTGGGAGGCCCATCTTGCGGTCTGTCGAAGTGTCCTCCACCCAGCAGGAAGCGTCCGCCACCCAACAAAGCAGTCCATCCTCCTGGGAGGCGGGAGGTCCGGTGTGTTTGCATTCCTTTTTAGCTTCAATCCGCGGACGGCCTAATGGGCCATGATTCCGGAATGGGCTTCGATGGAGGTGGTCGCACAAACGCCCTAAACCTGCTAAGGCTGCTAAGGATTGTTGGAGGAGTCGGTGAGCACTGCTCATCCTCATCGTTGATGCTCTGCTCCATCAAATTCGTCCCGGTGGGCTCGGGATTGAGCTTGAAAAGGGTCCTTGGGTCGGCTGCGCAGCTTCTCAACCCTCAACATCCTCAAGCAAGCTTAAAATGCCATAAACCCCAGAATCCTAGAACCACCCAAAGGTCACCGATAACGTTCCAAGCTTCTTGGCCAAGCGCGACCAGCTGCCTTGGAAGTCCCGGACCGCCGCTAAGCCAATTCGTGCCACGAAATGCCAGCCAACCATGCCTTACTTCAATACAAGTGTAAATATACCTTTACATGTAATCTAAATATAAATATAACACTCTCTATGTCTGTATATATACATATATCGAATATATATATATACACACACACACACTATCATCTGACACAAAGCAATCACCGTGAACAAGAAGAGAAACAGCGACAAACAGTTTCACTGCAGTGATCCATCTCATCGTTACTGTAGCCGCTAGTGACTAGTGTTAGCATAGCCAGCCTGTTGCTGTTCAACGTATCAGCGGTGGCCGCCATCGCGATCGTCGTAGTAGTAGCAGCAACAGTGCCGCGCGAGTCAACTCCCAAACGATTGGGCGCGGCTTGGACTGCAACGGGGGCTCTGTGCACAACAGGCGGCAGCTCGGAACACCCTGGCCATTCTTGAGCAGCCATTCCTCGATCAGCAGGCAGATAGATGATTCGGGTCCCCTTTAATGACACTCTCACCCCAAACGACGTGGGCGGCAAGTCGATATCCCACACCCCTATGAATCAAGACTCGCGATGCGCGCAATCCGACTCTACAGGAACCCAGACTGAAGGAGCTTGCTTAGCAGGGCCCATTGAGAACTGGTCCCTGTGGGCCGGGGTCTTCATGAAGTCATGGCGCTGGGACCACAGTGTCCAAAGTTGAGATCGCCTCACGCTCCTTCAACGCCACGTTATGAGACCTCCCGGTGTCTCAGATGCTCTCAACCGGCACAAGAGCACAAAGCCTCAGAACGCCTCAGAGCCCACTTGATCTTCTCATTGGATGGGCGAGTCGTAGACGTCTCGATGCATACCGTTCTCAGAAATGATAAATCGAAGTGTGATGGTTGCCATAATCACGACGGCCATGACTGGGGAGAACGAAACGACAGGTATCACCATTGCGTTCCCGTTGAAAAATATGTTCTTCTGCAGTGCAAGGCCATCGAAATTGGAAGATACTGGCAGGCTTCACCAGCACATCCCTAGGCCGCTAGTAGCATCGTGCAAGATTGGTTCGCTAACCCTGGCAGTAAGATGCTTCCCACTTAGTACTACGCGATTGCTACTGGCCATGACTCTGACATCATCTGCTGCCGGCCAGTCGTTCAGATTTCGGACAATGTCTTTGGAGCTTACTTTTAGAAATCAACACCCCTTGCCTTTCTTGCACCAATCGCCGGATTGTGCTTACTGCTCAAGCCTCAGAAATCCTAGACGCCCTACAGACTTACAAATCCCAGAAGCACTCAAAACCAAGCTACATCCCGAGAATGGACCTCTCCAAAAGCATCTTCCGAAGGTGGGCCCCAAGCTCCAGATTCGTCTCAAGGGCATCCATGGTCAGCAGATCCTGATACCAGCGCCAAGCCCCTCCAAAAGCACCCGGCACAGCTCTTTCGTGCCCGAAAGCCGATGCTTCTTACCACTGATCCTAGAAACTTCAGCCTTCAGACTAGGTCTCCACATTCCATGAATCTAAACTCAACCCCCCCCCCCCCCCCAAAGCCCTTCTGTCACCCTGGAAGGCTCCATGAGCTTTCGATCTTTGGAAGTGAATCCGGAGAGCGAGAGGGTCCCAAGAGCTCCAGCAAAGTCCTATACCCACGAAAGTCGTGGGGAAACCCTGGCAGAGTCTTCGAAGCGGAGGGGTATTGAGGAATAAATAAGAATAGTAGTAGCAAAATTTATAAGAAATAATAGTAATAGTAATACGGTTGATCAACAGTAGGAATAGGAACAATACTAGCAATAATACAGATCTAAGGGTCTCTGGTGCATATTCCTAAGGAGCCCCACCACCACTGACTGAAGTCCTATACAAAACACCCTGCCTCAAAACATCCCAAAGCCTCCCTGAAGCCCGTCCTCTAGCGCCGGCATCTGCGTATAGAGCGGGCGGACCACCACGAAAATGAAGTGCTTTACACAGAAGTCTGCAGTCGGATCCAGGATGGAGGGATCCTGATAGAACACAGAGGAATTGCAAATAAAATCACACCGATCCCATCTCTCGGAACCTTGAGCTTTCGGGATCAAGAGAGGATCTGCGTTGATGTTGCAAGGCTCCTCAGCGGCCCGGCCTGCACCCAGACATGCCTCAAGTAGAAGCAGCTCCAAACAGGGCTCTTGTTCTTCGGGACGAAGAGTCGCAGCAGGCTCAGCATGCGACATGGGACATCTAGGTCCTTGGACCTCAGTGGCGCTGAATCTGGCGGCTGCACTTCTAGCCTTCTGCCACAGTCTGAAGTAGCGAAATTCGTCTCCCGGCTGTCCGGCTTCATTGATCCTAGCGAGTATAACTTGTTAGCCCGAGGTGCAGTGTTCCTGCATAAACACACCAAAAAAATCATCTTCCTTGTTCTCACCGGCCCCCCTGAAGGGATCCAGCAAGCTCAAGCTGCAAACCCGACACCCGTAGCCACGTCCCGTGTACACAAACACTGTGCGACTCGCCTCACCGCAAGCTCGAAGCATTGAAGCCCGAAACCAGCACCCTACCAAGAGCGTCTTGACACCTGAAATCTTGTTCACATTCTTCACCCTGAATTGAGTCGCAGTGGCGGAGGAGGTTGCCCTACCCGCTTCCGCTTGGGGCTGCTGGAGCGCGGCGACCGATCGAGGAAGGCACTTTCTTTGAAGTCCTTGAGAGGCTTCAGACTATGACTGCTACTGCGTTGCAGTGGCACTGCAGCGGTCGTCTTCGTCGTCGTGTCGCCATCCTTCTCGTAGTAGCGGAGATGGTGGTGATTGCTGCAGTTGTAGTGGTAGTCGAGTGGCAGGCCGACATGATGGCTATCAACATCATGAATCATGACCCTCATCGACAGTGCCGTCGTCGTCGTCATCATCATCATCATTATCATCAGCGTCGTCATCGTCATCGTCATCGTCATCGTCGCCGTCATCCTCATCCTCATCGTCCTCATCACCATCAGCCATATCATGACCATCACTATGGTCATGATCGTGGCTGCAAGGGTACTTCCAAAACACTTTGGCTGTGACGATTAGTCTAATATAATGTGTGCCGGGGCACCTAGCATGACCTAGCACAAACTGCCACAGTCATCGCCACTGTACCACATGATCTTTACAACTCGCTTTTTCCGGCATATTCACACCGAGGAAAGCCCAAATGGGCTTCCTGGACAAGTCCTAGACACAAAAACCCCAAACCCCAAACCCTAAACCCCAAACCCTAAACCCTAAACCCCAAACCCTAAACCCCAAACCCTAAACCCCAAACTCGTACTCTTGACCGGCCCTGGGTCCCAGCAGACGCGCGTGGTGGAGATTGCAGGCCTCAGGCTTTCCGGGACGAGCGAGCAGATTCATGCATGTCTTATATTATATACTATTGGTTATAGATTATGGATGTTAGATTTTAGACTATATATATATTATATTATAATATACTATATTATATTATATTATATTATATTATACTAAACTATACTATACTATACTATACTATACTATACTATACTATACTATATTATATTATATTATATTATATTATATTATATTATATTATGTTATAATGTTATATTATGTTATATTATACTATATTATATTATGTTGTATTCTATTATATTGTATTATATTGTATTATATTATATTATATTATATTATATTATATTATATTATATTATATTATATTCTACTTAATTAGTTTTTTTCTTGTATTGCGGTACAGCCAGGACTGCCAGGACTCTGACGACTCGAAGTCACCGCCAAAGTCTTGCACTTAGGTGCTGGTTTCAAGGCATGCACTCTCCCCATTCAAGCCAACACTGTGCATGCAGGTGACGTAGTTGGTGCGTCCTTGTTTTGGTTGCAGCAGAACTCATCTATCCTCGCCATCTCCTGACATACAGAGAGAGGACTAGCTCCGAGAAGTTCTGGTCTGCATAGTTCGATCACAAAACAGGGTGTCAGCTACCGGATGTTTAGAAGGTAAGGCACCTGTCATCCCAGTCCCTGGCGATCCAGACACTGCATGTTTGTCGCATATACACGCAACCGGACTCACCACGTTTTTCTGTCTTTGACTCTACTTCAGAACGTTCAGAACTTCACGCTTGCCTTTTTGCGCCCTGAACTCTGTGCCTGCTCACTTCCTTGAATACCGCCGGCACCAAAAAGGTCCTACACTCCTAGACTGAAGGAGTCGAGGATCGAAGGTTCAGGGTTTGGGATTGCAGCGACCCTCGGACAGGATGCCCGAGCATCGTAGCCCAAGCCCGAAAAGAAAGCCGGGTTTAGGGCTTAGGGTTTAGGGTAACCCTAAACCCTACACCCTAAACCACACCAAAAACGGCCCTGGTCCTGGCCATTGAAGACCCGGTTTTGCAGAGCATCCGGGAGCAGCAGGAACCGGAAGTGCCGTCCCAAGGCCCAAGCTCGGAAGTAGCCAGTCAGGTCCTCGAGACCTGCGTCAGGCATGAGCTTTGGGTTTAGGGTTCTTGCGAAATTTGAGGACTCTGCTCTGCTCTGCTGTTGTATTCCGATTGGTTAAGCTGTCGGGTATCAGGGTTCGAGCCTGCACCTTGAAAGAGGAAGGTTTGTTAGGCTCTCATCACGGATCAGCAAATCGCACGGTCATCATCGTCATCACCAACAGGCTCCAGCATCAGATACGTAGCAGTGAGGTTGCTGCACTGGCATCACTACCCGCACCTCGCATTGATATCAAAACTTCTTCAGTGCCATCCCTTTAACCAGTGTCGCCAGTAGGTGGCCTTGTGACATGTAGGCGATGGGGCAGTCCACCTCGTCCGGATCCAAGATCCTTGCTGCCAGGATCGGCCGCAGTATCCGTGCAAGGCAAAACGGTACTCATAACTCTGCATTGTCCGCACAGTAACGAAGGATGTATTTCTACCGCAAATAAAGAAACAACTATGCATGTGTGTGTGTGTGTATGTGTGTGTATATATACATATATATATATATTACATGCGTAGCATGTATGTCAGAGAGAGAGAGAGAGAGAGAGAGAGAGAGAGAGAGTGAGAGAGTGAGAGAGATCATGCATCAAGATGCCTTGGCCACTAGATGCCCCGCGATTATTGCATGGGCTAGATGGGCTTTGGTACCTTCGCCGGAAGTAGCCGAGATGCATGAACGGCACCTCATAGAACTTGTCCTTTCGATGGTGTCGATCACCTGGATTGCAATAAGCTGGCGATTCATGCAACAGACCTGGACGACTCAAAGAGCCGACATGGCATTCTGAGAATGTGATAACTCCCATGATACCGCTCAGCCGAGGCACCCCACTTCCACTGCATTACCAGCTCCTCACTCTCCTTCTCCAAGACCTGCATGCGATGACTACCGGGGTTGGGAGAGTTGGAGAGTTGGATCGAGGAAGGGGGGGTGGTAAGACCTTATAGCCGTATAGCAGAGCATGAGACCGAATCATGCCGCTTCTGGTCAAAACCCTCACAGCTAGGCGGGAAAAAGGGTCTTGGCTTTAGCGGTTAGTTGGATCCAACGTCTTCGGCATCAGCAATTCATCGTCGGACATGCAGTGACTCAGCATCTAGTGAACCTAGCGTAAGTGTGGCAAGCTTTCTTGGACGGACTGAACAAAAAAAGGGCGTCGTGCTGGCTGCACCCTTCATATACTCCTCAGTTTCTTTCGACTGAAACGGCAACAAGGCAGCCTCCTCTCCGAACTTCAACAGTTCGTATGGAAGCCTGGGCATCGCTTCTTGAGGCTTCCAGAAATCGTAACGAACACGGATCCAGTACATCTGACCAAATGCGTGTGCTTCCTAAGCTCAGGTGGCTCGTGCAGCTCACCTTTAAAATTTTAAAACATCCTTTACTAATCCGAAAGCTCAGTGAACCCTGAACTGCCCCAAACTTAAACCCTCAACCCGAACCCCTGGAAACCCCAAGGCCGCAGACCGAAACTCTGAAACGACCTTCGGCCGCCCAGCTGCGAAATCGAGGCTCCGAAGCGAGGCACAAAGTGGATACCTCGCGCTCGAACCCATCATTGCAACAGCAACGCCAAGCGCGATGAGGCTAAGAAGGTACTAGGACGAAAGTACGGCCAGTGTGGTGTCACTGATACTAGCAAAACTGGACTGGCGATGATCGGAGTATAGGGCCTTCATTTGTCGCATTGTGAAGACTCTGAGGGGAAAGCGAAATTCTCACTTTTCCGACGCCTGGATTAAGTTCAGTACTAATTACAAGAAGAGTTCGTCTTAGGCGACCCCTGTGAAGCTTCTCAAGCAGCATTCAGCTCCTAGTGGTCTGCTCAAAGCCGAATCATGGGGCTTACGGCCTCTCCTATTCATGTTCTGGCTGCTTCTGCTGCAAATGGTACTACTGAAGCCCTGCGTGGCCTGAGAAGACGCTTTCACTCAGCACTCTCGCCAGGTTCCTGTCAGGGGTTCTTGGGTTCTTGACTTGACGCCTTCTCCCTAAAGACCCAACAGCGGGGGAGTAGAAGGAAAGAGAAGGACAACTCCAGTAACACGGCTCAATGCGCAGATGCCCCTGCTACAAAAAATGTAAGCGTTTAAGCTATCATTATATGTTGCAATATAAGAAAACAATTTCTGTCCTCTAAACAGACTCAGGAAACTCCAAAACCCAAAGCCCGAATCTCCAGGACCCCACCAGAAGAGGAACCAACGCTGCATCTACAACTTCGGAGCTTGCACCTCTTCGACTTCCAGCACAGTTTCATTCGTTCTGATAGCTACTGCTGCTGCTGCTGGCATTGCTGTTGTCGTTGTCGTCGTCGCTGTCGCTGACGGCAGCCTCGTCGTCGTCGTCGTCGTCGTGGACAATGGTGTCGTCGTTGTCGTGGTTGTGGTTGTGGCTGTGTTTGTGATTGCTGTTATTGATGTTGTTGTTGCTGTTGTTGCTGCTGTTGGTGCTGTTGGCTTTAATGTTGGTGTTGCTGTCGCTTTGGTGTTGTTGTCGTCGTTGTTGCTCCTGTTTGTGTTGCTGTTGCAGCAGCATGTGTGTGTGTGTTGATTGTCGGCTGTTGCTTGTTGCTTGTTGTTTTTTCGGTTGTGCTGGTGTTGTTTTTTTTTGTGTTGTGGTTCTTGTGGTCGTTGCGGTTATTGTGATTGTGATTGTGGTTGTGATTTTTGGTTGTCGTTGTGGTGGTGGTTGTCGCTGTCGCTGTCGCTGTTGCTGTTGCTGTTGCTGTTGCTGCTGTTGTTGTTGTTGTTGCTGCTGCTGCTGGTGTTCTTGTTATTGCAGTTATTGTGTTTGTTCTTGTTATTCTTCTTGTTGTTGTTCTTGGTGGTAGTGCTAGTGTTGGTGTTGCTGCTGCTGCTGCGGCGGCGGCGGCGGCGGTGTCGTTGTCGTTGTTGCTGTCGTTATTCTGGTTGTGGTTGTGTTTGTTGTTGTTGTTGCTGTTGCTGTTGCTGTTGCCGTTGCTGTTCAGGTTCTGGTTGTGGTTGTTGTTGTTGTTGTTGATGTTGTGGTTGTTGTTGTGGTTGTTTTTGTTGTTGTTGTTGTTGTTGTCGTTGTTGTTGTGGTTGTTTTTGTTGTTGTTGTTGTTGTTGTTGCTGTTGCTGTTGTTGCTGCTGCTGCTGCTGCTGCTGGTGTGTTGTTGTTGTTGTTGCTGGTGGTGGTGGTGGCGGCGGTGGTGGTGGTGGTGGGGGCGGTGGCGGCGGAGGCGGTGGCGGTGGCGGTGGCGGTGGCGGTGGCGGCGTTGCTGTTGGTGGTGGCGTTGCTGCTGCTGCTGCTGCTGCTGCTGCGGTCTTCCGTCGTCGCTGTAGCTGGATGTTGCCGTCCTTTTCCACTGCACGATTTGCGGCTAGGTTTCAAGGCCTGCAGCGGTTCTCCGCCACCTCCAGCACCCTCGGACGCCGCGCACCAGCGGAGCCCTCGAAGAAGTCGAGGCTGAGAGTGGAGCCCGCCATCATCACCGGCCTGTGTACGTGACACTCGTTCTCGTGCCACTCCCCAAGCGATAGCTGCACATGTGTGACGTCTGCTATTGAGGGAAGTGCGGTTGACTATGTCGCTCATGATCATGATGTTGATGTTGTTGTTCAAGGTGCGCGATGGTGATGCGGGTTGATCCTGATGCTTACTCGAGCTATTGGACGAAAGCATGCATGTGGAACTAGGAATCAAGCTGAGATGGATTCTGGGTTGAGGAGTCATGTAGTCGGATGCCTTCTGGTTTCGTGGAATGAGCTTTCTGACTCTCTTGAAGTAGCATTCCAGAGAGTTTCAGAAGGTCAAAAGGCTAAGGAGGTAGGCGCCACATCCAGAACTACGCAATTAACATCCTCTCGGCGATAATTCGTAGCCCCTCTCCCTTCTCGTCCCTTTCTCGGAAGAGCCAGGCAGCTCTCTGGCACCCCATAGGTCAGCCAAGTCGGGAAGCTCCGAGCAGACAGAGTCTGGCAAGGAGGGGCTCGAGGCTGAAGGGCTTTCGGGGTTGATGGCTCAGGGGTTTATAAGGCTTTCGGGGTTTAGGGCTTGGGGATTTCAGGATCCCTAAACCCTAAACCCATCTTGTTTTGGAGGGCAGGGGATGGTGACTTCGGGATGCAGCGTACGACCTTCCAGGGCAGGCTGTGAAATTTAAGACAGGGGTTTAGGATTGAGGGTGTAGGGTTTAGGGTTATTCAACCAATGCCCCCTTACACACGACGAGGTACCGGAACCGCATGAAGGGCACAGCCGGCACACAGCCTTCCACCTTTCTTGTCTGCGGCTCACCGTAAAGCACGTAACTAGCGAACAGTATGCAAATCCATAAGGCCCACAGTCTTCGTGGCTGACTGACTTCATCATTGATCTCCGTGCCTGAACTCAATTGCCGTGTCCACTGGGATTTCAACAGCCTCGGTGAAATGTTACAAGGCTTGGAGCTTTGGACAAACTCAAGAAACTGAAGCATGGCCTTCTCTCCCTCTGCCTGCCCTGTAAGTCCGTAAGCCGTTTGCAGGTCAGGAGCTCGGTCGGGAGGATAGGCATTGTCGCCGGGTTCATGGGCCCCACGTCTGAAGCCCGCCTCCGGGCATCTCTCGCCACAGTTTCACGAAACTCTCTGAAGTGGGCTGGTGTATGCGGTCACAAGATCCTCCCCCGACTTCTTGAACCGGGCAGCAACTCCTTGGGACACTGAACTCCCAGCTCCCAGCTCTTGATCCCAAATTTCCGATTCGACCTCCTTGTCGGGCTCTTCGGAGAGGTCGGTTGGCGGACAAGTTCCAGCGAGCCCTGCGCTGCAAATGCAAGGGCAGAAGCACTTAACATCAAATACTGGAATAGATTCTAGCATCAATATATGCGGAGTGAGTAGCATCAGCTCCCCTTACCTGTGCTGGTCTGGGTTGTGCTTCGCTGACGGGAGCTGAAGGACGGATAGCGGCTATGGACGGATTTGCATGGGGGTGATGGGTTTGAGGCGGTCCTCCACATTGATGGCGTGTTGTGCCTCCTGCTGCTGCAACTCGGACAGCTTGCTCCTGCTCGCCGATTCTAAAATAAACTCAAGCTGAGAGCTCGAAGTCCCAGAATCAGGCGCACTTGCGTCGTAGTCTTATTGCTGCTGTGAGATGCCCAGAAGGACGAGAGCATTCCAAACATATCCTCAAGCGGTTCATCAGCGAGTCCACGTACGGGAGCAGTTCTGGAATAGGCCCAGGCCCAGGCGTAGAGGAGCTCGCCTGCGGTGGTTCTTGCGGGTGGGGCAAGAGTTAAAGAGTTAAAGCCTGGTCTAACGCTAGCATACGGCTCGCCCGCATGACTCGGCAATGCTCGCCAAGCTCTTGTTTAGGGCATAGAATTAGAACAAGTTGATGCCATGTAGAATGCTTAAGGCATAACCGGTTCTCGTGCGTATGGTACATCCACAGGAACACATGCTTTCAGCAGCGAGTTCCCACTTAAACCACTCCGACTTCCAGGGTTTTGCGTTTCAGGGTTGAACGCTTTAGGGCTTTTGCCGCTGTTCCAGGCTCGGGGGGTTCTGCCTTGGTGTCCTCCTGCCAAAGGATGCTGGGGACCGTGGCTGAGATTGGCATCAGCACGTGAACGACCAAGATCTCCTGATATGCGGAGACAGGCACCTCTGTTGCATTATTTTTATGGTTTGAAAATCGATTCAGGGTGTTCTTGGCCGCCGCTGCTGCTGCTGTTGCAACAGTGCAGCAGCAACAACCATAAGGAAGACAACAAACACTTCCGGTTCTATTTACCACTACTGACTGGCCTACTGGCCTACTCGTGCCCCTACCATTACTCCGATTGCTCGTCCTCCGCCTCCTCCTCCTACTGCCACTGTTACTTCTACCTCTTACCTCTACTACACTAGTACTATTGCTACTGCTACTGCTACTACTACTGCTACCACTACCACTACCACTACCACTGCCACTGCCACCGCCAATGCGACTACGACGACTACTACTACTACTACCACCACTACCACTACGACTACGACTACCACTACCACTAAGACTACCACTACCACACCACTACTACTACTACTACTACTACTACTCCTACTCCTACTCCTACTCCTACTGCTAGTGCTAGTGCTAGTGCTAGTGCTAGTGCTAGTGCTAGTGCTAGTGCTAGTGCTAGTGCTAGTGCTAGTGCTAGTGCTAGTGCTAGTGCTAGTGCCACTGCTACTGCTACTGCTACTGCTACTGCTGCTACTGCTGCTACTACTGCTACTACTGCTACTGCTGCTACTGCTGCTACTACTTCTGCTACTACTACTGCCACTGCTAGTGATACTACTACTGCT